TGGTGGCGGCGGCGGCTACGGAGGTGGAAGCGGAGGCAGTTTTGGAGGTGGAAGTGGAGGCAGTTTTGGAGGTGGAAGTGGAGGCGGATTTGGTGGGCACGGAGGTGGAAGCGGAAGTGGCAGCGGTTCAGGTGGATATGGAGGATAAAAAAAATGTCATTTCAATGAATAAATACATCTATCATCATCACATTGTGGTTCATAATTTATCCCGATATATGTATTTACTATGTTGATCCCCGCCCCCCCACACACAAGCAAAAGGAATAAATAAATAAATAGTTCAATAAACACGGCAAAGAACTGATCAATTGAGAGTGAATAATAAATGAGAATTGCGAATTAGGAATCAGTGAGATACAAATAAAAAAGTAAAGAGAGAGATGGAGATAGAGGTGGATATATATGTATGTATAAAGAGACAGATAGAGAGAGGGAGAGAGAGCTAATCAGAGAGTAAATGAGAGAGAAACGGAATTTTGCATCTGTTCAAATTAACTGCATGTTTGTAATGGCAGCAACGACTTTGAAAAATTACTATTATGTATACCTGTATACATACATGTATATATACATATATATACATATATACACACAAGCATGTTGATGTGTATATATATATATATATATATATATATATATATATATATAAACAAGCATGTAAATATAAATATATATATAAACAAGCATGTATACACACACACACATATATATACATATATACACACGTGTGTATACACACACATACGAAGTACTGACTTAATCATTGAGACCGTCTGGGGTTTATCTCAAAATGATGGTAAGTTATCATTTCCTAATTCTATTTGATATTATGTATTATTAGATACATGCTATTAGTGACCAGAATAGAAACCCTAGGCTTTAATTACTACAGCAACACATTTTGGCATATTTCGAATATAACGGCGGGCCTTTTCCCTGATTTCTGGGGTTCTAAGCCATACCATTATCAATTATTTAGTTAGTTCAACTTTGTTAGTACAACCTAGTTTGCTTACCTCGTCTTTCATGTCTTTTCACACACATACACACACACACACACAAAAATCAATAGAATTTCAATCTATACTGTTTCCAGACCAATCAAGCACTTTAATACTATGGTTATACAAATGGGTTTTAACACTTTTAGCTATGAGGCAGGGAGTTCCATTATGCATGAAAATGTAGTCTTTATCTGGGAACTACTCACGAACTTAGGGCAGAAGACGTCTAGCAATGATGTCAGTTTATTCAGCTTGATTTGAATTACCTTTTACTATCTCTAATCGTCTAGTAATAATTACAGGTCACATACCACACCAGCACCTGAGTATGGATTTTATTTTCTTGTGCTCTTGCTTAGTCGGGTTGGTCCTTCTATTTTTTTAAAACTTATTTAGTAAAATTCTAAATACTACAGATAATATTCTATCCAAAACGATAAACAATCTTGATACTTTCCATTTTATATACTGTTCAGAATGTAAAGGGTGGTGAAAAACAATTTTCGTAACTGGTCTCAGTAACTATATCAGTAATGTATATTCATATAAATAAATAATTCACACACACACATACACACACTCTCTCATTCACACTCCGAACACTCTCAGACCTAAAATCGCGAGTTTGATTGTTTTTCTACTCATAAAACATAATTTGAGGAAATTGGTACGCAACTAAGAAATGTTTAAAAACAAAACTAATTGGTTTACATATTGAATAGTGTTGTAAATACATCATGGTTCAGTTATCATATAGGTAAAACATTACCTTAGATTTGGAAAGTTGCTGTACATATATATATATATATATATATATATATATATATATACATATATATATACATCCATATTAGACCATGCCTGAATGACCCGAAAAAGAAACACAACCTTCGTTGTTCTAAAAATACAATGATATGAGAATACAGTAGAAGGATCACGCATTTCCACAGCAAAAAATACAAGAAATACACATACAAGAAATATACATATGTATCTTCCTAACTTTATGAATACAGTATAAAAAAGATAACTTAGCATCTATATATATATATCTACCAATCTATATGTGTATGCTTATATACCATACACACATATCTAACAAAACAAGGTCAATATCTTCCTCTTATCCATTCATTCATTTACCTTAAACACACAATGACTACTAAAAGGTTATTGCACTGGGAATATCAAATCACGCTGAATAGGCAATGTTTTTTTTCCGTTACAATAAGACACCGATAAAAGCTGGCAACTCAACGAAGGACGATTCGATGTAGTATAAATATTTGGTCGACGTCGATTGTGCTACACTTATAATTGTTTCCCGTGCAACAGGAAGAGATAAACTGACAGAGGAGATGGCAGTGAAGCGTCCGCTGGTAAGACTGTGGGAGTTTTGTTATCGATCATATTTCACTCTGTTAGCAGGAAATTATTAGTTATGTTAGTGTTTGGAAAATCAAGTCTACTCCTCCCCAAAAATAATAATAAAAAAAAGCAGAGGTATCGATAAATATCAAATAGATAATGAAATGATAGAATATTGAAAGAAGTGAACTGATCAATATTACCAAAATTGTTTCAGGTGATGTTGGCGGCGATGATGGCCATGGTCTATATGGCAGCAGCGGATGGCCATGGCGGTGGAGGAGGTGGAGGTAGTTATGGTGGCGGTGGTGGAGGAGGTAGTGGAGGCGGAGGATTTGGAGGAGGTAGTGGAAGCGGAGGATTTGGAGGAGGTAGTGGAGGCGGAGGATTTGGAGGAGGCGGTGGTGGATATGGTGGTAGCAGCGGAGGTGGTGGATTCGGAGGCGGTGGATTTGGAGGTACAGGCCATGGAGGCGGTGGATTTGGCGGAGGTAGCGGCGGCGGCGGTGGTGGATATGGCGGAGGCAGTGGAGGCGGAGGCGGTGGCAGTGTAGTTTCTGGAATTCTTGTTGGCAGTGGAACTCTCTCGGGAGGAGGAGGTGGTGGTGGCGGCGGCGGCTACGGAGGTGGAAGCGGAGGCAGTTTTGGAGGTGGAAGTGGAGGCGGATTTGGAGGACACGGAGGTGGAAGCGGAAGTGGCAGCGGTTCAGGTGGATACGGAGGGTAAAAAAAAAATCTTATTTACAATAAATAAATGTTTCCATCATCACATTGTAGTTCATAATGAATCCATATGTATGTATTTACTATGTTGATCATCAAAATGAACTTGATCCCCCACACACACGCGCAAAAAAAAAAAAAAAAAAAAAAAAAAAAACTAACATGACAAAAAACTGATCAGCTGAGAGTTACTAAGAAAGGAGAATTACCAGGAGTAAGTGGGATTCAAAAAAGAAAGAAAAAAAAGTAAGAGAGAGATGGAGATAAAGATGGATATATATGTAAACAATGAGAGAGATAGGGATAGAGAGAGGGAGGGAGATAGATATAGACAGAGAGCAAGAGAGAGAGAGAAAGAGAGACGGAATTCTTTATCTATTCATATTAACTGAATGTTTGTAATGGCAGCAACGACTCTGAAAAATTATTATAAATACATGTATACATATATGTATACGTACATTATATATGCATATATATATATATATATACACAAGCATGTATATATATATATATATATATATATACACAATCATATATATAAGGATATGTATACACAAGCATATACATATATATACACACAACCATGTTTCATATATATACACACAAACATGTGTATATATATATATATATATATATATATATATATATATATATATAAATATATATATATATATATATATATATATATATATATATATTATATATATATATATATATATATATATATATATGTATTTATATGTACATATGTATGTATATGCACATATATACACACGCATACACAGTACTGATTAATCATTGGGACCGCCGGCGGTTTCAACCATTTTTGGTAGAATATGAATCTCAAAATGATGGCAGGTTATCGTTTCTTAATTCTATTTATTATCATATATTATTAAATACCTTATATTAGAGACCAGAAAAAAAAAACATTAGCTTTAATTACTGCAGCAATACATTTTGGCATGTCTCGAATATATCAGCAGGCCTTTTCCCTGATTTCTGGGGTTTTATGCCATACCATTATCAAGTGTTCAGTTAGCTCAACTTTGTTAGTACAACCTAGTTTGCTTATCTCGTCTTTCATGTTTTCACACACACAAAACAAAAACAAAAACAAAAAAAATAGAATTTCAATCTAGACTGTTTCCAGGCCAATCAAGCACTTTAATACTATAGTTATACAAATGGGCTTAAACAGTTTTAGCTATGAGTCAGGGAATTCCATTATGCATGGAAATGTAGTCTTTATCTAGGAACTACTAACGAACTTAGGGCAGAAGACGTCTATTAGTGATGTCAGTTCATTCAGCTTGAATTAAATTACCTTTTACAATCTAATCTTCTAGAACTAATGATAGATCTCATATCACACTAGTACTTGGGTTTGGGTTTAATTTTCTTGTGCTCTATCTTTTTTTTTTTTTTTTTTTTTTTTTTTATTATTAACTCACTTAGCAAAATTCTAAATACGGCAGATAATCTTTCATCCAAATAGATAAAGAGGCATGATCCTTTCCATTTTATACACTGTTCAGAATCCAAAGGGAGTTGAAAAAGACAATTTTCGTAACTAGTATCAATAACTATATCACTACTGTATATGCATATAAATAAATAATTCACACACACACACACACACTCACACTCCGAACACTCTCAGACCTGAAACCACGAGTCTAATTGTTTTTCTACTAACCTGCGCATTATAAAACTTTTGAGGAAACTGCAACGCAACTAAGAAATGTTTAAAAACAAAACGAATTGGTTTATATATTGAATAGTGTTCTAAATGCATCATCGTTATCATAACGGTAAAACATTACCTTAGATTTGGAAAGTTAATGTATATGTATATATATAATTTTTATATATGTATATACATATGTATATACATATATATATACATACACACACACACACACACACATATATATATATATACATCCATATTAGACCATGCCTGAATGACCCGAAAAAGAAACAACCTTCGTTGTTCTGAAGATACAATGATATCAGAATACAATAGAAAGATCACACATTTCCTCAGCAGAAAATACAGAAATGCACATACAAGAAATATACCTATGTATCTTCCTAACTTTATGAACACTATAAAACATATTAAAGTCTGTATCTATATATCTACCAATTTATATGCATATGCTTATATACCATACACACAAATCTAAACAAAGCAAGGTCAATATCTTCCACTTATCCACTCATTCATTTGAGGAACGCTGTCTTAAACACGCAATGAATACGAAAAGGTTATTGCACTGGGAACATCAAATCACGCTGAATAGGCAATGTTTGTTTCCGTTACAATAAGACACCGATAAAATCTGGAAACTCAACGAAGGACGAATCAAAGTAGTATAAATATTTGGTCGACGTCGAATGTGCTACACTTAGAATTGTTGCAACGGGAAGAGATAATCTGACAGAAGAGATGGTAGTGAAACGTCCGCTGGTAAGACTGTGGGAGTTTTATATCGATCATTTTTCACTCTGTTAGCAGGAAATTGTTAGTTATGTTTGGGAAATCAAGTCTACTCCTCCCCAAAAATACTAATAATAAAAAAAAAGCAGAGGAATCGATAAATATCAAATAGATAATGAAATGATAGAATATTGAAAGAAGTGAACTAATCAGTATTACCAATACAGATTGTCAAATATCGGCTGTTTGTTTCAGGTGATGTTGGCGGCGATGATGGCCATGATGTAAATGGCAGCAGCGGATGGCCATGGCGGTGGAGGAGGTGGAGGTAGATATGGTGGCGGTGGTGGAGGAGGTAGTGGAGGCGGAGGATTAGGAGGAGGTAGTGGAGGCGGTGGTTTTGGAGGAGGCGGTGGATTTGGAGGTAGTGGAGGTGGGGGCCATGGAGGCAGCGGAGGCGGCGGCGGTGGATATGGCGGAGGCAGTGGAGGCGGAGGCGGCGGCAGTGTAGTTTCTGGAATTCTTGTTGGCAGTGGAACTCTCTCGGGTGGAGGCGGCGGTGGCGGCGGCGGCGGCTACGGAGGTGGAAGCGGAGGCGGTTTTGGTGGAGGAAGCGGAGGCGGATTTGGAGGGGGAAGTGGAGGTGGAGGATTAGGAGGAGGTAGTGGAGGCGGAGGATTAGGAGGAGGTAGTGGAGGCGGAGGATTAGGAGGAGGTAGTGGAGGCGGAGGATTAGGAGGAGGTAGTGGAGGCGGAGGATTAGGAGGAGGTAGTGGAGGCGGAGGATTAGGAGGAGGTAGTGGAGGCGGAGGATTAGGAGGAGGTAGTGGAGGCGGAGGATTAGGAGGAGGTAGTGGAGGCGGAGGATTAGGAGGAGGTAGTGGAGGCGGAGGATTAGGAGGAGGTAGTGGAGGCGGAGGATTAGGAGGAGGTAGTGGAGGCGGAGGATTAGGAGGAGGTAGTGGAGGCGGAGGATTAGGAGGAGGTAGTGGAGGCGGAGGATTAGGAGGAGGTAGTGGAGGCGGAGGATTAGGAGGAGGTAGTGGAGGCGGAGGATTAGGAGGAGGTAGTGGAGGCGGAGGATTAGGAGGAGGTAGTGGAGGCGGAGGATTAGGAGGAGGTAGTGGAGGCGGAGGATTAGGAGGAGGTAGTGGAGGCGGAGGATTAGGAGGAGGTAGTGGAGGCGGAGGATTAGGAGGAGGTAGTGGAGGCGGAGGATTAGGAGGAGGTAGTGGAGGCGGAGGATTAGGAGGAGGTAGTGGAGGCGGAGGATTAGGAGGAGGTAGTGGAGGCGGAGGATTAGGAGGAGGTAGTGGAGGCGGAGGATTAGGAGGAGGTAGTGGAGGCGGAGGATTAGGAGGAGGTAGTGGAGGCGGAGGATTAGGAGGAGGTAGTGGAGGCGGAGGATTAGGAGGAGGTAGTGGAGGCGGAGGATTAGGAGGAGGTAGTGGAGGCGGAGGATTAGGAGGAGGTAGTGGAGGCGGAGGATTAGGAGGAGGTAGTGGAGGCGGAGGATTAGGAGGAGGTAGTGGAGGCGGAGGATTAGGAGGAGGTAGTGGAGGCGGAGGATTAGGAGGAGGTAGTGGAGGCGGAGGATTAGGAGGAGGTAGTGGAGGCGGAGGATTAGGAGGAGGTAGTGGAGGCGGAGGATTAGGAGGAGGTAGTGGAGGCGGAGGATTAGGAGGAGGTAGTGGAGGCGGAGGATTAGGAGGAGGTAGTGGAGGCGGAGGATTAGGAGGAGGTAGTGGAGGCGGAGGATTAGGAGGAGGTAGTGGAGGCGGAGGATTAGGAGGAGGTAGTGGAGGCGGAGGATTAGGAGGAGGTAGTGGAGGCGGAGGATTAGGAGGAGGTAGTGGAGGCGGAGGATTAGGAGGAGGTAGTGGAGGCGGAGGATTAGGAGGAGGTAGTGGAGGCGGAGGATTAGGAGGAGGTAGTGGAGGCGGAGGATTAGGA